GTTTAGGGTATCTATCTCTCTGTCTATCTATCTATCGATCTATCTATCGATCTATCTATCGATCTATCTATCTATCGATCTATCTATCTATCTATCTATCTATCTATCTATCTATCTATCTATATATATATATCTCTCTCTCTCTCTCTCTCGCTCTCCATCTCTCTCTCTATCTCTCTCTCTCTCTCTCTCCCCATCTCTCTATCTCTCTCTGTCTCCATCTATATATCTGTATTTTCTCCATTCATCTTTCTATCTCTCTCCTGGCCTGGCCTGGCCTGGCCTGGCCTGGCGTGCGCGTGGACAGTCGCGCGGATGTTGTGTGGCTGCCTCCGTGCCACTCTGTGCATCCGCCGCAACATACCGCAGGCTTGTCCGGGAGTTGCTTCTGCACTTCTTCGCCTTCTGCCGCCTTTGCCTGGCCCCCGAAAGGGCTCGGAAGTCGCGGGGCCGAAGCGAAGTCAGGTCCTCACCACTCTGCGAGGACAGCAAAACGGAAGCCGCCTGCAAAAGCACAGAGACCTGCACCTGTGCTGCCTGCGCTGCCGCTGCGCCGTTGTGTTTTTCGCTTCCATGGCACTTGCCTCTGCCCTCGCACTTGCCTCCGGCTCTCTTAGCATCTCTTGGCGCCATGGGCAACTGCAATTGCCCAGTGGTGGCCCGCGACCGACCGGGGATGGGGGCCATATAGGAGCACCCGGCATTATACAGGAGCGCTTGAGTCGCCAATGCGAGGTTCGACAGCCCCGAGACAAATTCACCAAGCTCGACAACCTTCAAGAATGCCACGGCGACCAAAACATCGAGGGCCCGCCTGGGCCCAAGGGGAAGGGGCTCGCGTTGTGCGCCAGCTGTTTGCTGCTTCAGTCTTGTGAGAAGTTCTTGATCGGGAAAGAGCCTCGATCAAGCTGTGCGCGCGCGTGTCGTGCGCAGCCTACTCGTTTCGACAAGCCGTATGGAGGCAGGGTTCTCTGGAGTTCGTACCGTGAAGCCTTCGTTCCGTTCCTCAGCACGCTCAGCCCCGCAGACGGAAGGCAAGACTCTGCAGCGTGCAGCACCATCCCCCAACGGAAAGTAGAACAGACAATTGAATGGCGTTGAACAGCATGTTCACCTCTTCTCGCCAAACAGGCCGCCAGGTTTGAAAAATCGGAATTCGCAAGAGTGGGATGCCTTTGTGGCCCGCTTCCAAAGCTTGAAGGCTTGAAGTGTAGCAGACTGCAAGGCAGCTTGGGCAGCCGCTAACTCTTCATCGGCGAAAAGGGGCAGGGTTTTGAAAAAAAAGAGGAGAAGCTTAGAGCGGGCTTTACAGTAGCGGGCGCTCTTCGGCGGCCCGGCCGATGCCCGGAAAAGGGCGAAAGACGGCGCGCGAGTGTCCAGTGTTGTGTTAATTGTGGTCGTCCGCACTCTGCACTGAGATGCACTGAGGCTCCATGGGAAGGAGGACTTCGTGAACGAGGCAAGCTCGCGGCGAGCGAAGTGCGCGAAGCGCGGCGCCCGCGTTCTGCTTTGCCACCGGCCCGCGTTCTGCGTGGGAGCGGGCAGTGCGCCTTCCAGCTTTAGCCTCACGGGAGCGACTCTTTCTTGCAGGTTGCTGCGGCGAACTACTCGGGCAACAAAGGGGTCCACGTCTGGCCCCCGCGCTCTAGCAGCCCGGAGCCCAAAGACACGCCGAGTCAGCGGCGTTGCACAGAAAAGCTTTACGTTGGATGCCCAAGCCCAAACTCTTAAATCATGAATGTGAGAAGGATGGTACTCATCTTTCCCTGTTGCCTCCTTGGCGTCAGTTTGCACCGGGAACTTCACGCATGGGGTTCCACACTATACGAATCAATACGAATCTGGGATTGCCATTCATCCCAGCGATGCTCATATTGGGGCCTGCAACCTTGGAGCCGCACCAAACTGACGCCGGCTTCGTGGTGGATCCAGCATTTTAGCGGGGGGGGGGAAGGATCATGTGCAAACTGAAGCTGCGCACTGCGCGCAGAGGGAGCATTCATCCATGGTTTCACCCCAATCTTCAGATGCCGTCACTTGCTTTCACAATCGGCGATCAGATGCCGTGGAGACCTCTTCTTGGAACCGATCATGACAGCGTTTGGCCATGACAGAATTGCAGCATCTGTATGAATAAAACACCGTCTGCTCACGAGAAGATTCTGTATCCAGCATGCTCCCGCTAGGGCACTGTTGCGTGAATGCATGCCGATCTTATCATGCACTTCTTGCACCCCTTCGCTCATGTTAGTACCATTCGATATAGCCATTGTGGTCAAAACCTCTGGTGGATCTGGGTTGAATCCGTCACCTCGTTCGCCGAGGATATTCTTGTGGTGGTCATCATTGTGTCATCATCGTTATGCCATGCATCGGTTCAGACATGAGCGGGCCTTGTCTCGGGAGTTCACCAGGGCTGTCGCTAGCGTGCCAGTGGTCGGACATCAGTGCCGTTGATCGAGACCTTGGTACAAGGCCCTGTAGTACTCTTGACAGAGTTGCGGTATCGCGCCATCGCCAGGCGTGCGGGAGACTATCCTAACATGCAGGGAGCAAGCTCGGGCGCAGCATGAAACTTCAGACTTCCCATGCGGTAGCAGCCTTAGATGAAGCTTTTTTTGGGCTTAGACGTAACTTTTTCCTGCGTGCACACATCCTCTCCCCTGCCGTCCCCTCCCCTCCCCTCCGCTGCCCTCGCCTCCCCTCCTGTCTAATGGCCATACCTGCGGCTCGAGTGCCAGCGCTGAGAAGCCCTAAAGCCCGCAAACCTTAAAGCTCTGATGACGCGACGAACACCCTAACAAGCGAACCCAGCACGAACTTTTGAGCAAAGGTGACAAGCTTGAGGAGCAAACCCAGCACGAAGTTTTGGCCGCAGACGAAAGCCCGAAGGAGTAAGCCCAGCACGAAACTTCTACGAAAGAGGAGAAACCCTGAGGGGCAAACCCCGCAGGAACCATTGGCCGAAGACGACAACCCCAAGGAGTAAACCCCGCAGGAACTTTTGGCCGAAGATCAAAACCCTTTGGAGTGAACCCAGCACAAACCCTTGGCCGAAGACCTTCAGGAGTGAACCCAGCACAAACAGAGGGGCAAAGGCGAATACCCGGAGGAGTAAACCCAGCACGAGCGGCTAAAGACGAAAACCCTAAGGAGCAAACCATGCAGGATACTTCCACGAAGGAGGATAAACCCTGAGAAGTGAACCCCGACCTTTGGCCGAGGACGAAAGCCCGAAGGAGTAAACCCAGCAGGAACTTTTGGCGAAGACGAAAACCCTTTGGAGTGAACCCAGACGAAAACCCTGAGGACTAGACCCAGCAGGAACCTTTGGCCGAAGACGAAAACCCTGAGGAGTAAACCCAGCACGAAGCTTTGGCCGAAGACGAAAACCCTGAGGCAGGAAGCTTGCTCGAAAGATGAAAAACTCCAAGGAGTAGGCCCCGCAAGAACTTGTGGCCGAAGACGAAAACCCTGCGGAGTAAACCTAAACCCAGCAGGAACCTTTGGCCGAAGACGAAAACCCTGCGGAGTAAACCCCGCAGGAACCTTTGGCCGAAGACGAAACCCCCAAGGACTAAACCCAGCACGAAGTTTTTACGAAAGACGAAAACCCTAACGAGCAAACCCCACAGGAACTTCTGGCAACCCTAAGGAACCGTCTAGAAAAGACGAAAACCCTAAGGCCCTAAGGAGTAATCCCACCAGGAACCTGTGGTCGAAGACGAAAACCCCGAGGAGTAAGACCCGCGTGAACCTCTGGGCCCAGCATGACCCTTGACGAGCCACGAATCTTTTGCGAAAGTCGAGAACCCTGATGAGGAAAGCCCGCAGGCCCCGAAATAGAGCAAAAAAAAGTCATAACTTAGATGCGTGTTTTGCTACCCTCTGCAGAGATTCGTTGTTTTTTCGAGGACAAAAAGGTACAATTAAGATATTTTGGTGAAAAAGCTGAAAAGTCACATCTAAGCCAAGAAGTTGCATCTAAGCCTTCTACCTCCCATACCGGTACCACCCCAAGTCGCTTACTGCGTGGGCGCTGGGACCCCCGCTGCCTTGCATGCTTAATCGCAGAGGATCATGTTGCGAGGTCTTGTCTTTTGCAACCGATTTTCGTCGCGGAAGCTGGAGTCGCATTGGAAGAAGACCGTCTGGTTGCTGCAGCATCTTCGCATGCGATGGGAGTTGTCTCGTTTCAGGAACGTTGTATCTGGTCTGATTGTGATTATTTGGTCCATTGGGGCCACCTTTCAAGCGTTTACGGTCTGCTCGCATGCCTGATTTCCAGATGCAGTTGTCGGTCTTCAACCTATAGACTTGGCAAGATGGCAGCTATGTCGCCTGAAGCCGTCTGCACCATGCTGTATATTTGGGGGGTCATGGGAGAGTGTACGTGTACGAACGGGCATCCAAGCCTGGGGACTGTTGACAGAAGGCTTGTTCCGATTCTGGGATCCGTTGAGCGTCTTACAGTCAGCTGTTCCATAATCCAGACACTCCGAGGGAGTATGTAGGTCACCTGCGCTTGTTTCTACGAGTCATGCATCGGGAGCCCCGTGTCCCACCTGGTACGTACTTTGCAGCAGTTACTCCGGCCCGCAAGGACAGGTGCCGCTCGAACCTGCCCAGACTCTGGCATAACTAATATCACTTGTCCAGATTGACTGGGAGAAAGGTTGGGATGATATTGTCCGGTGTTCGTGGTGGCGTGTGGATTCCGCTTCAAGGTTGCAAACGCGCTGCTTCCACTTCAAACACGGGGCTTTGCTGAAAGTGCTGCTGCTGCAGCCGGCGCACGGTTCGTTGGCAATGCAGCTGCAGCGGGCCAGGGACCCCGGCACTGCGGCACCGATTCTTCTGGCAGCATCTGGTCATTCGCTGCGAATGAAGCGCAGCGGAAGTTTCGAGCATGTTGCGATGCGATAGGGATCTTTGGCATCAGATATGCTCGACAAGGGATGTCCATTGCCGCATGTTCTGCGAGCCGGGGGGGCGATCAGGGGTCTTCCTGGCTTATCTGTCACAGTCGTCGGTGGACGTCGTGAAGCTATCGAGTTTGCGCTGGATGATTCTGATTCAACGAGCAAGGCCAAGAACGAGAGTCTTTCTCCATTGATGATCAATCCAAGAAGTCGTTTTTGTCGGTTAGTCACACTGTCGCTCAGGTCTATTCTCAAGTTTCCCTCCAGTGTTTGGTATCGTTTGTCCGCACGGTGCTCTTGCGGTGCCTTTATGCCGGTGGATTGGCATGCATTTCTCAGATATCAGAAAACCTATGAAATTCTGTCCACCTACGCTTTGTACTGATTGAGAATTCAAGCTCATTTGGCATGCCAGCACATCCATGTGAAGCCGTGCCTGAAGAAGAAGTCTTGCATATACGAGGTGGTGATAGCGATGTGGAGTCGGAGACCGAGGAGCCAAAGCAAATCCAGCGTCCCCGGCGAGGCCAAGGTATAGAGCAAAGAGAGCGGATGCGGATGAGAGCGGATGAGATAAAAAAAAAAAAAAAAAAAAAAGCGCGGGGTGCCGTGGGCCTTGCATGGCCTCGCAGGCGCCGTCTTTGCAGAGCAGATGCAGAGCACAGGCCCGGCCCCCCCCCCATAAGCCCTTTCTTTCACAGCGTGCAGTTGCTTCGGCGCTTTGACCTTGCAGGCTACTACAAGGAGCCTTACTGGAACAAGCACGTGGCCTGGGAGAACCAACTTTTTGCCCCCTGGCGGGATTGCAAGCATCAAGAAGCCGTGCAGCGCATTGTCGCAGTGTGCCTTGAGGTGGCCCTGTCGGCCTGTCCAATCTTCCAGCAGGCAAGGGCCGCAGGGGGCGCAGGGGGCGCAGGGGCGCTGGCACCCGAAAATTCTCGCGAAGACCGTCCGTCAGCCGTCAGCCATGTCGACACTCGTCACATTTTTTCTGTCACAGTTCACGGATGTGGAGATCACCAAGTTCGTCCGCGCCACACCCTCAGAGCATCCGCATGGTCGCGCTTGTCCTTGTCCTGCAAGTTGAACCACAACTAAGGCGATGGAGATCCACCTGCGCTACGCCGGCGAGCCGCTGTGCCAAGAGGGCGAAGCAGGTGCAGAACATTTGCGATAAGACGAAAGAGGAGTGGGCAAAGTAGGAGTTGCAACAGGTGATGGCCTCTTCGTGGTGCTGATGGGCACGATTTCTTGCTACAAGGGCAGCCAGCCGGGGAACTCAGCGAGCTGCCTGAGCTGCCGGAGCTCCTGCGAGCTCATATCTCAGGCTGTGCACCATCAAGCCCCCGGGCTCCCTCATCGACGAGGAGCGGTTGGAGAGCGGTTGCGGTCTCTGCTCATGACTATGAGCCCCTGTCTGTCTCCGGCTAATCGCAGGCTTCTGTGTTGTATAGCTACCCAAGGCGCGAGGATTTGAGAGCTTCTCAGAGCGTCTTCTTGAAGAGATTGCTGGGAGGCCCTACTTCATGAAGGCCCAGGGCGAGCCGACGCCCAAGGGCAAAGTCGGCTACGTCGGCTAAGTCGGAGACGATTCGCTGAGATCCGCCCACGCTGAGCCGCTGAGGTGTGTGATGGCCAAGCTTTGCCGCCACTCGGAGCAGAATCCCGCATATCCCGCAGTCGCCATCTCGTCATCCCTCCGCTCGTACGATTTTGACTTGAGGCAAAGATTATGTGGACCTTGGCACGCGCTTCCAGCCGGAGCCTTGATTTATCCAGACTACAACAGCCCTTTACAGCCTTGGCGAAAGAAGCACAGAGAAAGCGCAACGAAAAGAGATTTTTCTCAAATGCCGAGTGGCTCGAAGGTTCTACGCTCGGGAGAAGTACAAGAGCCTCCTGATGGAAACGAAAGTGCCGCTCTCCCAGGATTTTGGAGAGCCCACGTGCAAGAGCTCACAGCTGAGTCTCACGTGGAACAGGTCAGCGTCTCGCATGCTGTAAGGACAACATATTCACATAGAGGTTACTAGCCCGAGAGCAGGGCCGTGGAATTCTGATGACTGCAATCACGTGCTGGGGGCTGCGGATGCAGACGCCCTGCTGCCTCCTTCCCTCCCGTGATTTTCCTCATGTTCTGAGGTTCGCATGCGCGCGCGCACGCACGCATGCACACATGCATTCACGCACCCACCCATACACGCCCGCACGCACGTTCATTCATTTCGATGCTTGCAAGGAAAAGCATCTAGTATATGGTGTATGGCATGACGAAAACCATTCAATATTTCTTGACAGTCTGGTGTCAAGCTCGCCCCCGCCTATGTTTCAAAAGTGAGTACTCGTCAAAAACATGCGACAGCATTGCAAATATGCGGGCTCCAGGGTGTTCCACCCTCCAACCTTTTGGATGCGGGACATGGAGAAGCAGTAGTTGGAGAATGCATGTATTGATCATTCTTGATCTATAAATGTGTGTCCTGCAAAGGGCGCGACTCCAACAGCATATGCTGCAAGGCTTGGAAGCTACTGTAGCGAGCTCGCACCCCGCCTCGCTAGTCAAAGCCTTGGTTCTGGCTAGGCCGAATTGTCTCTTTGAGTTCACAATCGAAGTTAATGTTGCTACAGTCATACTTTTAAGCAGCACACACACACACACACACGTAGTGTGATGTAACATGTATTCCTAGTAATATTGTTAATGTGTTGTCTTGTCAGAGACATGAACTATCTTATAGTAAAGTGAACGCACTACTTTTTGTCGAGAGATGCTGGCCGTCGCAGCGGCCTACTGTTGACAGATGCACACAATAATATATTCATATATATGTGTAATGTTGTATCCCCCCCTGGATTTCCTCGCTGTCCTGCAAGACTCCCTCAACCAGTTCACCATTTCACCAATTTATTTATGTCTGAACCCATAAACCATTTCACCAATTGGTTTGGCCCTAACCCATACACCATTTCACCAGTTAGCTTGGCCCTAACCCATAAACCAATTCACCAATTAAGTTGGCCGCAAGCCATAAACCAGTTCAGGTGAAATGGTGAACTGGTTTATGGGCGAATTGGTGAAATTGTGAACTGGTTTATGGGTTAGGGCCAAGCTAATTGGTGAGATTGTGAAATGGTGTGTGGGTTAGGGCCAAACCAATTGGTGAAATGGTTTATGGGTTCAGACATAAATTAATTGGTGAAATGGTGAAATGTTCTCCTCCAGGGTTCACAGCCGAGGTCCTCGTATAGTCCGGGCCAGCCGTCTCTCCCTCTAAGGTCACGTCATCTGCTACTCGCGAAGTCTGTTTAGTGTTTTGACCTTGGGCGCTCATAACCTGTTGACCATCACGGTCAGGTTTTTCAGCAGATGCCATCGCTCTTCTTCTTCTATACAAATTCGTTGTGCCTACAAACAAACTCAGCTAAACAACGTATCCCCGGTCCCTACACGGACAAGACAAGAAACGCAATCAAGCGCCAAACAACCCTGAACTAGAAACAAACCGTGTTGCAGCCGATGGGCCTCGAGGGTCGAGGGGAACTCAAAGCCTTTACCCGAAACCCGAGCCACCGACCTTCCAAAGGATCCCCCTACAAACGGGCAAAAGACCCTCGCTTCAGGGGTCCTGACGTTTTCCATCTTGAGCCATCGTACGCGGTTGTGTCGGCATCTGTGCACACGACACAAGACAGCATGTCCCACGCCCTAGCTATTCACATGGAGTCTTCTCCACTTCAGCCTCGCATCACGCTAAAGACATTCGAAGCACCTATCCAAACTACGAGCGATCAGTACCAACACAAGGGGTAGAAAACAGACACTCTAACGGGATTGCGGGGTTACAAATGTTGAAAACTCTTAATCCTAAATTGGAGTTCGCCGTGGGGCATGACTGAACCAGACTGTAAACTAAAGGCGCATTTGCTAATAAATTGGATCTACAAGGGTTTAGCATTTGGAGTTTAGCAGTCACACAGGCATGAAATACGAAAATGTACCGACGGCTGCAAGGCGAGGATTTTAGCACCTTACAACAGGGTTTTGACGAGGTTTTTATAGAATTCATGACATTGTACGTGTTTGACCTGGTCAGCATTCTGAAAGCATGGACTGTTAGTTTTAGAGGTGCAAATAATCAGGATTAGCAACTTACTGGGTTAATCTCCAAGCTAGGTTTGCAGAGTTGGGCAAGAACGCAACGAAATCATGGCTTCCGTAACCGTAAAGGGATGATATGTACTGAGAACATCTATAATCATACATAGAGACTTAGATACTGCACTGCATATTGTCTGTTAACACAAAACCATATGAATTCACGGTTGTTTATATGTGCTTTGGTCCAGATTCGAGGATATCAAGGTTTTAATACATTTTGCCCGGGTTTATAAAGTTTCGGCGGGTTTCAAAACCAGTTGCTGGTTCCACAATAGTACACAGCAGTGCAGACATGCAGGGGGGATACTACGCAGCCCATATATACATATATACAGTACACACACATATACACACGACATATGTGTGTCATGTTATGTATGTATGTATGTATGTATGTATATATGTATATGTATATGTGTGTGTGTGTCAGATGTGGGTCCATACCTATGCAGATAGCTAGATAGACATATATCTATATATTTATGTATCTATATATACATATATAGAGGGAGGGAGAGAAAGAGAGAGGGGAGGAGACCTTCTGCATAAGTGCATGTCTGTGTGTATGTAGACAGACGGATGTTACATTCAGGCTTCAGAAGGAGATGCTTGGAGATTCAGGCTCGAGACGATGCCGCCGGAGGGCATCGCTCGCATCGCCGACACTTTGCAGAAGCGGACCTACCAGCCCAAGGAGGACCAGATGCAATGATTCAATAGAGAAGCAAGCGCAGAAGAGAAGAGAACTGGGTTCCCTCCCGCTCGGGTTTTGACGATCGAGGACATCATCCGGCAGCACGAGGAGGGCAAGGAGTTCTTCATCATGCTCTCGGGCGTTGCCACGGCCTCAGAAACAAGAGCAAAGTCTTTGAGGAGATGTGGGCTGTGGGAGAGCGAGACTGAGAGTCCGTAACCAGGCACGAGTATGGGTCCGAACAGGCCGGGAAGCTTTTGGTGCCTTTTTGAGCAGAGAAGCAACTCCGAGATCGGTCTTCTTCTTCTAAGGCAACGATGAGCAGGAGTACAAGCGCTACAAGGCCGGAGATCTCTTCGGCGAGCCGGGCTCCCGGCAATTTACCGCAATTCGCAATTCTCCCGTAATTCTCCGCAATTCCGCTTTAAACTTCTGTCACGAGTCACGCCACTTCGAGTTTTCTTGAGGCTCGCGCTGCTGAAGAACGCGCCCCGGGCGGCCTTCGTGTCTGCGGTCACCAGCGTCGAGGCGCAGATGCAGAAGGTATGGGACTATGGGGGGAAGTTCGGAGTTCGCCGAGGTGCTGGCCCTCACCCGGAAGCAGTTCGAAAGGCGCGGGGCAGGGGGCAGGGGCAGGCCGCGGCCGGCATCTCCAGCCGGGCTCCTTTGTCCAGGCTCTTCGGGCCTATGACGGACCTGCAACAACAGCAGTACCTCACGGATCCAAGGCCACGGGGCTGCAGATGGCTGCAGGGTTCAGGGCTCTCTCCCAGTCTCAGTCGGCAGGAAGCTCATCGCAGACTTCTACATGACCGGGGATGCTCGGGGACCCCGCGGCAGTCTGAAGCTGCATCAGCTAATGCCCGGAGCCTCTACGCAGCGACTCTACGCCATTATGCAGCGAAACGTCCGTCCGACGCCTGCTCAGGCCAGATGCCAAGGCTCACGGCGAGAGCACCTGGCCTTTCCCCCAGTACCTGGCAGACACAGCCTCGCAGCGCACTCTCACTCCTTCTCACAAGAACAGCGTGCAGGTTTGCCGTGTACCGGCCTACCAGCAAGGACGCCATTGCCAAGATGCTGTCTGGGGTGGCGGTACGCACCCTGCAGAGCCTGCAGACCTGGGCAAATGGATCGCACTGTGCCTCGAATGAGGTGGGCAAGGGCTTGAACGTGAAGGGGAAATCCGCGAAGAAGGGGGCTGGGGTCCTGGAAAGTCCTCGCAAGAGCAAGAGGGCAAGAAGGCAATGAAGGCAATGAAGGCAAGAAGTCTCTTTCAGAGGTGCTCTCCGGCTTCGTGCCCTTCATCCAGATCTCGGACAACGACCACCGATCCATCATCGAGCAGACGGGGCCCAAGCCGTGAGAACGAGCGCCGCCGTGTGCCCCCAGGCGAGTTGCGGGAGACCTGACCCGCCAGCCGCCAGGTCTCCACGCGAGTCGCGGGTCACCGTCTACTACAAGACCAAGGCCGGGACGAAGCGAAGGAGAAGTCCGGCGGAGAAGCGAAGGAGGGAGGAGAGGGGAGGAGAGCTCTGCCAGGCCTCGCGGCAGGAGGCGCAGAAGCTCCTCCAGGCGCCCGGAGAACGCCCGGAGCGGCGCGCGGCCATGCGCGCCCATGCGCGCCCATGCCCGCTGCGTTCCGAAAGGCGGCCTTGGAGGACACCAGCTTGGACATCGAGGCCGCGGCCGGCCGCGGCTTTCTTTCTTGATTTGTACTCTTCTCGCCTCTCGTCTCTCGTGAAAGGACCGGTCCATTCGCCTCGTGGACGACTTCCAGCACGGGGCCAAAGAAAGCTCTTTACCTTCGCGGACGCCGCGCACTCCGCTCTCCCTTTCGATCTTGGCTGAGGCCCGAGAGTTGGGGCCTGGATCTGCCAGAGCCGCTCATCCGCCAGAGCCTCAGAGCCCCACTGGCTGCGTGCAACACCTTAAGGAGAACCCACACTGAAGCAAGAAAGTTTTGTGTGCGCGATGACGGGCCTCAAGCCCACAGCGTGTCAGAAATTGTACTAGACTCCATGTAACGGGAGGGAACTGCACACCCAGCATACCGAGATCAGGTCGTTACCAGAAGAAAAGCCCTTGCACCGCTGTAGTATGATTGTTGAGTCTCTGAAGGTGGCAGAGTACGTTTGCTTGTCAGCAACACGGGAGTGGAATGGGGCTGCTAGTTGTCCTCCCAGCAACTTAAGGGGAAGGATCAGCGATCTGCCGGCGGTGTACAGTTCCGACCAACAGAGTTGCCCGCTGTAAATGCACGCCTGCGCTTTGACAACAGTTTATTGACGGGCAGATGCACTATGTCACTATGCGTGCTTATCCAGCGAAGTGCAATGTCTCCAGCTCCGTCAGGATGCCGGAAAACTCCTCAACTCGACGGCTTCAGAGTTGGTCACCGACAATCTTCGCACGCAAGCAGCTCGAAGTTTTCGCCCACGCAGAAAACTGCACGCAACGCCCAACCCCACGTGCGGTCACGTCTCTGCATTGAATCGTGGACTGCGGCGGTGAAAAGAAGCCGAGAAATGGCAGCCAGCCGCAGGCGAAATGTACATCGTCCGATCGGACCTGACACCGGTCATGGGCTTGACCCCCAGGTTTTGTTTTTGCATTTCTTGTCAGAGCCTTCAGAGCCTGAGCCTGGCCCGCTCAGAAGCTCTTTCACTCTGAGGTTGGGAGACAGGGCGGCGATCGGAGCCGGCTTTCATGGACATGAACCTCCACGCCATCCGCGGGAAATCCGAGCCCCAGGTCGGCCCGAGTCGGCCCCCGGACCCGGACCCGGACCCGGCCGGCAAGCGCCAGCAGCGTCTGCTGATTGCAGGTGGTCCTGTACCAGTACGACGAGAGCGACCCGATGAATCCCCGTGGTTTGCTCATCGCGTGAGACCGGCTGGGCAGGCGTCAGGTGGCAAACCGAATCAGAGACCGGCACGCGGCAGGAGGCTAGTAGTAGTTGGAGCGAAGAGGAGGAGGCGTAGCAGTCGCAGTAGCAGTCGTCGTGGTCATCGTCTTCGATGTGGTCCTTCGTGACCACTCCTCTCTGTGCTGCTTGCGAGAAGCCTGGGATCTGCGCATCCTGCGGCCCATTGCCATCGTGTGCGCTTTTTGCGGCGAGGTATGCGGAGGCCCACGTGAAGCCCGTGGTGTCCGACTTCGACACCTTCACGGTGGGCAGTCGAGGACGGGCCCATGGTCTCTTCGATGCCCTCGCGCTTCATGCGTCTTCGCTTCCTCCGAGTCTCCGAGGCATGCGCTACAGCCAGCTTCCCGCGGATCAGGTGCGAGGGGCGAGCCGCCATCCGCGGCAATCCGCGGGGCCGCGGGGCGATGCCGTGCTTTTTCGTTCCCGTTCCACTGCCTGCAGGCGAAGCTCATCGTGTGGCTTCTGCAACGGACGCAAGAAATCCTGGGGTCACTGGACCACAACCCCTGGACTTCCCGGTGGTTGGAGGCGCTCTTCCCCCCCGCAGTGCACTCGCTTAAGCTGGGCGTGCGAGGTTTTGAAGAAGGAGAACGAGAAGGAGGACGGGGAGGGGGAGGGCTCTCTAGCTGAGGGCGCTCTGAGCAGTTGCACGTTTTCCGAGCTCAGGATGGGGTCCACCCAGAGCTGCCCAAGTTCGGCTTCGGGGATCCCACCTCGTGCGCTGATCGATTCGAAGGCACACACTGCAGATGCAGATGCAGATGTAGAGCTGCAGGTACCAGCTCATTGCTGACGTGGTAGCAGAGACTGCTCCTTGTGGTGCGGTCCGCCACGGTGCCGAGTGCTGCCGGGAGCCCGTGCACGTGCTGCCCCTGCTGGCTATCGCTTCTTCGCTTGAGGCAACTTCTACTTCCCCCAGGCTGCGACTCTCCTAGGCCTAGGCCCCAGGCCTGGCGGCTCAGAGCCCCAAAGCCCAGGAGCTGGACGACGAGTTCCTGGTGGTCTGGCACGGCTTCAACGAGATGCACGGCAAGCGGGGCACCCTGCATCTGCTGCATGTCCGAATCGGAGTTGCCCTGCTTGCGCTGCACTTGCGCTTGCTCGGCGAGGCCTTGGGATTACAAGGATGAGGCCAGCCTCCGGGCCTTCCTGCTGGAGCGCATCCAAGAGGGCTACTCCTTTCCCTTGAATCCGGCCAGGGCCTTGGATGCGAAAAGCAGCTCTGCTCTGCTCCGATCCCGAAGCTTCTGAGGTGTGGCCCGTGCGGGACAAGGGCTGGTTCGAGGTCTTCCAGGTGACTTCTGAGATGCGTCAAGAGCCGTCTGTGCCCAGCCCGACAGTGTCTTTCGACAGGCTCTGAACGCCTCGGAGCACGGGGCCGCGGACCTTCAGTCCTGGTTCCCACAGGAGGCGCGCAGCGGCGCCGAGTCCGACTTTCAGCGCTCCTCAGCCGAACTAGCTTCAAAACCGCCGCCAGCTGGACTATACGAACACCATCGAGCGGCTGCACGCCAAGTTTCCAGAAGGTTTTCGCCTTGTCCAGAAGTGCCGGCCACCCAGCAAGCCGGCCTTGCCATTGCCACTTCTGCGATAAACACATGAGAGCAAGCTCGGAAGGAGAGTCATACGCTGGAGAACATCGAAGCTGTCTTTGATGGTTTCACCTGCACACGGGGAGAGCGCTTAGAGCAAGGATGCTACCCAAAGCGCCAAGACGACAATCTGCACAATCCGAGCTCTGACCCTCCCTCAATTCGGCGCGACCCGGCTACTGCCGGGGTGGGCTGCCTATACAAAGAACATCAAAGAGCAGTATATATTGACAATATATACTAAGTTACTAAGCTATACTCCTATCGGTCCTATCGTTACGCCGTTACGTTCCGTTGAATACGTTGCAATGTGGAAGTATTGTAGCACAGATGTGCCTTGAAGCTTGGCCGGCTTGGCCTTCGCGAGGCGAAGGGGTCCGAGGTCCGATGTTTGAGCACCTTATCGGCGTGGCACGTGCCCGTGCCGTGGCCAAGGGTGACACTGCCCCGGCCTCTTGAAAAGAGCCTTTCCCAGGGGTGTTTTTTCATGACTATGGGACCGCATCTCCCAGAGGGAGTCTTGCTTCCACCTAGAAAAATGCGGGAAAGATCTTGTGACAGCAGTGGCACGGCAGCCTTTCTTTTGAAGACCGTTGATTCGACGCATGGCCCAAGCGAGCCAGCATGGCATGAAGCGCATGAGGCCGGGCCGGGCGCCGGGCCGGGGGGAGAGAACAAAGGGGCGAGAGAAGGGCGAGAGAGTGTTCGGATTCGGGCTCTGCACACAGTGGGAACGGCATCTCAGGCCCCAACTGAGGACGGGAACTTGTTTCACAAAGGGAGAGCAGTATTGCCCCCGACCTTGTTGATTTTGCTCACGTTTGTTGCTGTGTTGCACGTGAGGACCGTGCAGGTGCAGACACTCACTCGCTCTTTTCGATCTGTTTTGTGCAAAATGCTCAGACTCCACAATCTCGCGACTGCAGCCGGGGGGCTTCCTTCCAAGTCCAAACCGGGAATTAAAAGTGGCACGCTGCCAGAACGTTGCTTAGCACGTGAGGAGATGAACGCAGAACGACGTAGACTCGGAGCTAGTTGCATTGAAAGTGGCCCACGGCACGGGAGGCACTTCCTTGGAGCGCTTCGAGCAAGGCGAGCACTGCCTGCTGTCGCAGAGCTCGCATCCGCCTCCGCTGGCTCCGCTGGCCGGTGCCGCTGGTGCCGCTTCTCGAGCTCCAGGCCAGGCACAGAGAAAGGCGAAGGCGCGCTGCTGGGCCAGGGCCATCCTGCGGGGCATCGGCACGTGCCGAGCGGGGAAGCATGGAAGGTACAGGCGGAGCCGCACTCACCCTGTTTGAAGGGTCCGTGAGGCGGCCAGGCCAGAGATGTATCGAGATGTAGGTCCCGACCCCTCTCTATTCGGTGACTGGAGCAGGGGAGACAGCAGATGTCGCTACGGTGGTGCGAAACTGGTGGGCCTACCCGGCGGCCGGAAAGCTCAGAGAAAGAGGAGGGCCGAGGAGGGAGGGAGCGGAGGGTCTGAGCTGGTGCCCGAGGTGGGCTTTGGTGCGAGTCTGGAGCTGCCGGTGCAGAAGTTCGAGGTTTTGGATGCGGAGAAGACCGAGCTAGGCCGGGCCCCGCGGCCGGGCCGGGTTTAGCCGGGTTTAGTTGTTTAGTTTGGTGGCTCGGCGCTGTTGTGTTGTGATCTGAGAGGCTCCGTGGTGGTGCCGAACAGCGGGCAGCAAAGACCGGGGGGGGGGGGATTCGGGGATTCCGGATGGAGAGCACGGTTGTGAGTCCGAGCTTAGGCATCTTCGGTCTGCCGATTCGGAAGGACCTGATCTTCAAGGCGGGACACGCCGCAAGTTTCACTCGAAGACGGCTCTCTCTTTCGGTGAGGCCTACTGGTATCACCGCAGGAAGCTGGCCGGGAGCCCCGATCAGCGGGGCTACGGCGGCTACGGCTTTCTTCTCGCCGGAGTCGTTTTTTCCAGCTCAAGCCGGCATCCGCCCCTGCCCCTTTTGGGGGCATCTCTTTCTTCCCTTTCAGAGCGCAAAAAAGACATTTGCATGGCTGCATGGGGTTTTGTTTAGTTCTGAGAAAAGCAAGTTGTGGAAAGGCGGCTCTCCCCTTTCCGCCTATCACAGTGCACATCAGTGCACCTTCGGATCCTGCAGGGGAGCCAACGTCATGGTAAAATTCCCAGCTTTGGCCCGAAAACCTTGAAGATACATCGATCCGTAGCGTCCGCGACCGGTGGAGAAAAGTCCCTAAAAAAACAGTCAGATGGCTTACATTACTCGCGCCGCGCGCCGCGCGTTCCTCCTGCAGCCCGAGGTCCTTCTGTGTCCTTGGTTTGGGCTGGCTTGAGCTGTATACGGCTGTGAGCTGAGGCCGGGTATCAGGACACGATGCAGCTCTACAAGTGGGAATGGTCGGGGGCGCAAAGAAGCGCAGCCGCAGACTCGGCCGCATGCCGCATGCAACTCTCTCGACTCGGCCGGAGGCCCGGGGCGAACCGGAAGGTGCGCTCGCAGAAGAAGAGCGGCAAGGGCCGGATGGGCCGGCGCAAGGCCCCCGGAAAGCCAGGGCCTCAGAGAGCAGAGAGTCTTCGCGGCAGCACTCCAGGGAGCGCAGCTGCGTGTCTGTGGAGGTTTGAAGGCTCCCATTGCCATGCCTTGCGGCCCAAAGACTGGGGTGGGAGGAAGCTGAACAAGCGCGTGCTCTGGCAGGCCGGGAGCCGAGGCCGAGAGGAGGGCCGTTCCGTCCGTCGCATTCGCTAAATTAAAGGCCGTGCGGTGCATGCTCTCCGTGAAGTTCGTGCAGAACTCCATCAAGGCAATGCCTCTCCGCGAGCCGGGGCGAGCCGGGCCCCGCTCTGCTCTGCGATCAACTCAGGTGGTGGATTCCTTCAACTTGCAAAGCCACAAGACCAAGCACCTCGCGGGGAACTTACAGGAAAACTGAGAACACGTCGGCGAACTTGGGACTTGGTCGGACGCCGTCTGAAGCCAACAGCCCAACAAAGAGAGAAACCCGGAGGGAACGGTGGACTGGATGTGGGCACGTGATTCGTCCTTTTGACGGCTGCCATTTTCCAAGAGAGAGCGCTTCTTGCAGCCAAGAAGGTGTTACATCGACATGAACTGCACCTATCATGCATGCATGCAACTGAGAACCCGTATCGACATGACGTAAAGAGTATCACCCCTCCATCTATCTATGCATCTGTCCATCTGTCTTTGGGTCTGGTCTTTCAGCCCTGCGTTGATCCGTGTAGAAAACATCCCTTCATTGATCCCAGCATCCAGCCACCCACCTCAATAGGGTAAATATAAGTGTGCGTCCCGACATGCTTCCTTTGGACAACGGCTCGTGGCAGCGGGCATGACATGGGTTGGAATTTACCATGGATCCCGCCTGCAATTTTCGTAGAGGCGTCGGCAGCACTAACACCCCCATCGCGAATATGTCCGGTGGATCGTTCCCTCACGATATCCACGTGGCAATTGGTCGCACCACCACACACGCAGCCACGTTTCGCGCTGACCCGCGCAGTCTGGATACGCCGCCGACATCCAGAGGAGCATCGCGTGAAAATTGGAATTTGCCCGGGGCCAGACCGCAAGATGCGGACGCGCAAGGTCCACGCAGAGAGTTGCCGTTGTCAATTCGGGCCATTCCAGAAACGCCGCGAAGCGCGTGTTTCTTCTGCATCACGCCGGGCCCCGACATTCGGACAGCATCAAAGAAACCGAAAGCAAGCGGACAAACCGTGGCATGTCATCAACCCTGTACACAAAAGAAGCTTTTGCATGCTTGTATCGAATAATCTCCCACGAAGTCATTGATGAAATCATGGAGGTGCTGCACCTCCGTCGCTTGCTGGGCCGCAGGCCGTCCCCGCATGGCATGCAGGCCGCGTGCGGGCACGTGTTGTGTCTACGCCTGGAGGTGTCACAGCGCCCTGCTGGTCCACGAAGGCCTTTGGGAAAGCTGTCAGAGCTTTGGCCGTGGGACGGGGTCTGTAAGGCCATGTGGATGTGAACGACAACTGCCGTCCGACCGCTTAGAAAGACTCTTTGTTCAATTTATAATTTATCAGCTTGCAAGAGCTGAGTCTCGACCATAGGTTGGGCCTCGGCACACGTGCCGGCCATCCGGCGAGAGAACGTGGAGGCCCGAATGGGCGGGGCTTGTCTTGCAAGGTGCGTACGTAGTAACGACGTAGTACTGTATATCGTGGTTTTGTTTTGGTATTTTGTGGTTTGTGTGAGCCTCTGAGCTTGGCTTCGTGCTTCAGGTAATTAGGCCGGCAGTCGGTCAGTTCAGGCTCTCAGACTCTCGCCGGTCCGTGTGTTCCCGCGAGCCCACCTGTCACAGTCGTTTGCTCTTTGGGCCCCTTACCTCCATGTGGCCGTGGGACCTTTATGCTCGATGTGTGGCGGTTTCAGTGTCTTCAGCAGCGAATATGGAACTCTTTCATGATTGAACGCGCCCATTTTTTTTGTTTCTCTCTGTCTGGCTTGGCTCGGCTTTTTTCTTTGTCTGGCTTGGCTTGGCTCGGCGTGGCTTGGCCTTTTTCTTTTCTCTGCGTCTGGCTTGGCTCCTTTGGCTTGGCTCCGCTTGGCTCCTCCCCCCAAGCCCCCACGGAGAAAGAAACTTCCCCGAAAAGTTTGTGTTTGTTTTTGCTGCATTCAGCCAGGGCCGGAGCTGCGAAGCACCTAAGCCTTTGAGCGGAGCACGGCAAAAGCGCTCCCTCCCGCACGTCTGCGTTTCGCCTGAAGCAACGGCCACAGACGAACGGCGCGCCTCGTCCCTACTGCGTGTTCCGCGTGCTCGATCAAGCCGAGCCAAAAAAATACACCAAACACACCCAATTCTGGCTTCGAAAGCTGCCCCAGTCGTGTAACTGTGCAGTTTATGTGAAGTCGAGGCACCAAAAAAAGAAAACAAACGCACAGAAGGACCAAGAACAATCTCAGCCGTCTCGCCCTCCCTGCCCAGGGCTTGAGTGTCTACAATCTCCTCAAATACCACCAGGTGGGATAAGCCACAGCTGTGAAAGCAGAGCCCGAGCGTAGCCGAGCGTAGCCAGGTAGTGATCACAGAGGCGGCTTTGACTAAACTGCTGAAGGCAAGGTGACGCTCTGCTTGGCGGCTTAGCGTGTACCCGTCCTGGTCTTCCAGTTCTATAGTTCTGTGTCAAACATCGCAGGAGATCTTTCTCTTTCCACGTCGGCGGGCTTGGACACAGCGCTTTGCCACGCCCGACCAGCGCCCTGCGCGAGGAGCTCGTGGAGGAACTGCGAAACTGAAGCTCCACTCTGTTCGTCCAGGCTTCTCTCCTCTGCTCTCTGCTGTGCTCTCACTCCTCTCCCTTCTTTACCCTCTACCCTTGATTCACGAATGTCATGTTATGCGAACTCTTGACTGTCTCAATCTCACTCTCTCTCCCTTCCTTATTTCCCCGCCACTCCTGACTTTCTGAGGCCGGTTCCTTCGAAGGTGCCGGGCTGGAACCGCGCCTGGGTGGAGAAGAAGGCGGGATCGGAATTCGGTGGGCTGGACTTTCTGCGGCTTCTGCTTGCGCCGTCCGAGGAGCGCCTAAGAAACTCCGAGTTCCGCGCCCGGGAGTTCTTCCAGGCAGGGAGCCATACGGCCCATACATTGCATATCTATCAATACCTTACAGATACACATAGAATATATATATATATATATATACATACACATATGGTAGTTGATCTAAAGCTCCATGAGCCATAATTCATATGAAAGGCCAACAGCATAGCTAGATATACCTTCGCGAAGTGTCGCTAAAGTCAATTACTTTGTTGCGGAAGTTCTCTGTTTTGCTTGCTTGCCGTACTATTTCTAGTACTATTATTCATTTCTATTACTATTTCTGTTACTAGTACTATGACTATGACTGTGACTAGTATTTTTACTACTAGTTGCTCTGGCTGTTGCAATTGTGAATATTGTCAGTACTGTTTATTACCAGTGTTCCTAAATTTCTACTATCGCTATTATTTCAATAACTTTTATGATTACTACGATTATCATTATCCTTCTTCTCACTTTTGTATGATTGTTTCCACTGTTTTTGCTGGTATTGATTGCTATTGTTGTTGCTAGTCTTAGTGTTACTATTACGATTGTTATTTTTATTGCCATAACTAATATCACCACTTCTCTTGCTATTGCTACTCCAACTGGCACTGCTGTTACTACTCCTGTTGCTGCTGCTGCTGCTGCTGCCACTACTGCTGCTACTGCTACTGCTGCTACTGCAACTGCTGCTACTGCTATTGTTATTACCGTCTCCACTTACCACCACTACCTGCCATACCTACTACCCTAAGTGTAAGCAAGTTCCCGTACAGGGTTTAGCGCGTAAGTTCCGCGTAAGTGGCGTTAAAGTCGACGTAGGCAGATCAAGGCCACCCCCCAATAGTGCATTTCGCGAATGGCTGGCGAAAGGGGCACCTCCTAGGACGCCCTTACGACCCCTGGAATAGCCCCATGAGGAAAGCTTTTCAATCCTCCGTGGCTGCGTATCAGTCTTAAAGCCCCTTCAGAAATCCTCAAGCAGATCCTCTGCCGCAAATCGGACAGTTGGGGATTCCTTTGGCGGCCTCAGAACAGCTTGCAAATTTCTCCTTTCGGGTAGACCGAGACATTCCAATCCACTTCCTGCCAGCCGGTGCTCGATGAGCCCGGGGTTGGATTGGCTTTAGCCCGGATTCACCGCGACTTCCGTTGAGACCGAGCCATACCGCCCGGGCGGTTCGTGTTCTCGTGTGCCTTTCCTGACCTGGGTTTTGCTCAGATTGGCTTGACTTGTTTTCAGGGTCGAGGGGTCTAGCAAAAGAGTTCGCTCGCGCCGCGATGTTGGATCCGCTGCTGCGGTATATTGCCAGCACGGCTCTGACGAGGATGTACTCAACTTCGATGTGCAGCGCGAAAGTCTGCCTCAGCGCCGGGCCTGTATGCACGAGCTTCTCCTGCGCGATCACCCTGGAGAGACAAGCAGCATCTCGAAGGCGAGCCAGGACTGAGTGCAGCGGCTCTCCTATAGGCGTTGGTGTCTTCCATTGACCAGAAGTGTTGAAAGGCCGCATGTCATGACGACCGACCGGCCTGGCTCAAGGCTGCGAGCGCTGCTCTCATAGTGCTGCCCACAGTTGGCAGCGGAGCACCTGGTTCTGTCATGGACTTTGGATGCCCAGCCGTTAACACCACTGCGCACTCTTGGCAGCGCGCTTCAGCTTTTGGCAACGCGACTGATGCATGGGCAGCAGATCACCGACGCGTTGTTCTGCGTGGCCGCGAAGCTGGCAGTACTTTGCGACGAAGAGAGCCGAGCCCTACACCAGGAGACTTTGCAAGCTGGCAGAAGCGCTCTGTCAGGACGTTCGGTGGGTCAACGGCAAGGGAACTTTGGACATCAGCCAATGTGCCACATGCTCGAATGGCAGGATGGGGGAAGCCAAGAGATCCTGGACCTGCAGCCAGACGTCAACGTGCTAACGTTCTGTTGCATGCCGTCGGCGAGAAGTCTTCTGTTAGATGTAAAAGAGCCCGCATGCACAGTTCGTTCTTTGAACTACCTTCACAAGCGTTGTAGTCGTATTGCTACTGTCATTATTTTGCAAGTTCCCTGTACCTGTATCGGGTGCGGCTAATGCAACAAAACGATATTTGCGTACTTAGATCCAGTTCTCATGTAGCTTTTAGGGGTATCAACAAGGCTGCAATATCGTTGCTTTGGGGTTCAGTATTGGGTTAGTAAGCACCAATAGTATCGTGATGTTGTTAGGATTGACATTGACGCATAATTTGTGTTCAGCTTCATTTCGAGCTCAGATGGGTTTTGTACTGGGTTGTTAGCATTGTGTCTCATCGTAGGTCTGCCATGCTGTGGCCTGAAAAGCAGCGTTCCTCTTATGTTTCTTGCCAGAGGCAGTGATTCTGCTAGGATCATCATGTGGACTGCCCGTACCGTTCATGAGCCTTGTCGATAGGCTTCGGTGGGCAACATACGGGAAAACATTGCGACAAGTTGCTGTCGTTTGTTTTTGGCTTTGGATGGTACGCAGCATCACCATTGTAACATCATAACATCGTGTTGAACCCCCCGCGATGAAGTGGATTGTATGCAAAAATCCAACACCATATACGCCTGCATCGACCGCTTGAGATGCGTATGCAAAAGGGTTATATATATATATATGTGCAATACTTTTCGCGGGTTAATAACTTAAGGTATGTATGAATAGAAATGTTATGTGCATGATTCAGGACTATGATTCTGCGGTGCTGGGTTGAAACCTTGTCCTCCTGAGTCAGGTTACTTGTTATCGCATGTGTGTATGTGCTGTGGCAACACCTCACCGTAGTTCATGTGGAGGAGGGTTAGCATATACATAAATAGATGCATGAATACTTGTTTACACATAAATACGGACACGTATGCATGCATGCATGTATGTATGTGTGGGCTGGGAGTCGCAAGGCGATCGAGTTCGAAAAACGCCGACTTGCCTTTGTGACTCTGTGAGCTTCCAAGTCTTTGCAGGAGTCCTTGAAGTGGAAGTGGTCCTCGGAGCTGAAGGGGCCGCTGAAGGTCCCGCGCACGGACGCTCTCAGCGGCTTTCGGGTCAAGGCGAGCGGAGTGCCGCAGAGCCGTGGGGTGGGATTGCGGGCGAAGGCTTTCAAGGGAGTCTGTGGCACGGAGAACGGGGCACGCTGTCCCTCAGGACTTCCTGCTCTCCCCCGAAGCGCCTGCCTGGGAGAAGCTCGAGAGCTTGCACCCGGGACCCCTCACAAGACACCACAGCGAATCCTTCCGAGATGTGGTTTATTCCACTGTGCCTGTTTCTAGGTACGGGGACGAGGAGCCGCTGGAGGAGGATCTGGACGACGAGGCTTTTGGGGGCTGCGCTCAGTCTCCGAGATCGACACGCAGCCGTAGGCATAGAGAATTTCCCTTAGCAGTTTGCAGGAGTTCTCTGAGCTTGTGGAGAACTTGGATGCTCTCCGCAGCCGCGGCGAGGACGCGCCCTGCAGCCGCTTGCTCTTGTGTTTCTCCTCTCTGGGAGGCCCGGGGCGACGCTCTCGACAGGCCCTCGCAATGCTGGGAACGGCACACTGAAGCCACGCGCAAGAGGGATCATCCACCGCATGGTGTGACTCGTTCAAGCTAGACATCTGTAGCTGCAAGCCTTTGATGGCAACATACCTCACAAGCACCTGAACTGTCATGAGCGCATGTTGAAACATTCAGTGTCTTGCATGATGTGTGCGCACGTAACAATCACGATTCAAGATGTCAGAGTTGGCGGAGGTCGGACGTGGCCGAGAAAGGCACGAGGAGCAAGAACGGACAGACATGTGCGTGTGATCTGTATGAACGCAAAAGCTCTGCCCCGAGCGCGGCAGGTCTTCGGCAGCTGGCTGCTGCACTGCAGCAGAAGCAGAAAGGCTAGCACCGCAAAAAAAAATCGCAGAACCAACCCGTGCGCATTCGGCCTACATGCATATGGCATGAGATGAGATGAGACATCTGGACATGAACTCAGACTCAACACATGGGGGGGCAACACCTTGACTTTATGCGCAGGTGGTGAGGCCTCGTAACTCGCCTCGCTTGCAGCCCCCTCCTGGTTGGCTCAGTTGTTTTGGGGGCAAAATAAAGTCACCAAGCACTACCACGGCGGCGGGGCCAAAGGCGGCTCGTGTCTCAGGGACCCATCGGCCAAAATGGTTTGTTTTCGTGTTAATGTCACGTGAGTCACGTGGCACAAAGGAGGCGAGATGGCTGCCCGGTTGCTGCGAGCCAGGGGCACAGCATGTAACGCTTGCAGTGCTTGCGGCTGCCTTTCGGTTCTGGTTATTGAGCCTCGAGCGCTCCAGAACGAGGCGTCGCGGCCTGTTTCTGCTAGCCTGCGATGGCAGCTCGCCGCGGTTTCCGCGGCCCCGCGTTTTCCGCCAAAGGCTGTTTTCGGGGCCCCAGAGGGGGAGCCGTCGCATGAGCTGCGACGGCGACGGTGCGGAGGTGGCCGGCTGGCAGCAGGCGAAGACGCAGCTCCGACACTTCAGGACCAGTGCTCGCTCTCCTGTCCCGTTCTCTGTCCTGTCGTGACGTCCCCGTGCTGTCAGAACTTCCACTGCGGCCCTGGCTGTGGAGCAGTTCAAACTGGCTGCTCGGATGATAGAGCGGGGATTCGGATGGGGGATTTGTTACAGGATTCGTGGTGCTCTGGTGCTGAGGCTGACATCGGCGAGGGCATCGCCGAGGTTCAGCTGACCGAGTGGTTCGTGAAGGAGGGCGACATGGCCTCTCGGACCACGAGTCCCGAGTCCGCCGGGCTTGAAACGACCTTAAGCCTTAAACTGCTCTCGGAGTCAGGTCAAGGAAATGGACAACGTTTGCAGCGTCGAGAGCGACAAGGCTTCGTAACTCTGATCATAAAGACCACGCCATCCCCCAGTTGCAATTCCAAGATTCGCGGCCTCCACTTGGAGTCAGGCATCCGTGGAGCTCACCAGCCCTTACACAGGCAAGGTCACCAAGATCCACCACAAGGTGCGGCGACTCCGAAAAGAGTGTTGAAGGAGTTCTCTTAAGGAGCCGAAAAATGTTTGAGGTGCAGGACACGGTGAAAGTGGGCTCCGTCCTCATCGACGTGGAGACAGGAGGCGGCTCCGCCCCAGCCGCCCCAGCGCCAGCCACGCCAGCCACGCCTGCAGCAGCACCTGCTGCAGCTGCGGCATCGGCCCCTGCAGCTGGGGGTGCCCAGGCGGGCGAAGCGGGGCCAAGCGCAGAAGGGGGGCAAGTTTTGCGGGACTCGAGGTGCAGGCCTTCAAGCTGGCAGACATCGGCGAGGGCATCGCTGAGGTCCAGCTCACGGAGTGGTTTGTGAAGGAAGGTGCCGGCCTCAAGGAGCAGAGGCCCTTTTTCTCGACAGCGCCCCACAGAGCATGTTTCGTTGGCGAGGTGACGTGGTCAAGGCGCGAGCGTGAGCTTCAGGGAGCCGCGGGCCGCGATCCTGTTCAGGAGATGGACAACCTCTGTTCCGTTGAGAGCGACAAGGCTCTGAGCACAAAGGCTAGGGGCCCAGGATTCCGTTTCTCGGTTTGGAGGCTTCGGTCGAGCTCTCCAGCCCCTTCAGTGGCAAAGTGGTGAAGATCCACTACAAGGCCGCCTCCCGCGATCACGAAGTCACGGACAGCAAAGTGACCGAAGGTTCAAGACACGGTGAAGGTCGGAAGCACTCTGGTGGACATCGAGACGGCAACGGCCCCGTGACCATCAGCCTGTACTATCTCTTCGGATTTGTGCTCTTGCCAAGGCTTCCTCTGCCGCCCCATCCACACCAGCACCGGCCGCACCCGCGCCCGCAGCGCCAGCGGCCGCCCCAGCCGCGGCCCCAGCGGCCCCCGTGGCCCCGGCGGCGCCGAAAGCTGCGCCGGCTGGCAAGGCACCGGCCGGCGAAACTTCGAAACGGCCCCCAAACTCTGGTTTTTGCCCTTAATCGTACTCGTAGGCTGCTCCGGGCGTTCTGGCGACCCCGAAGGCAGCGGTGACTATCGGCTTAGCGGCTTAGCTGCCTGGCTGCTCTGCCCAGGTGCGCAGCCTCGCGAAGAAGCTCGGCATTGACCTGAACACCGTGAAGGGAACAGGCGGCAGCACCTGCACTGCAATGCGGCGCATGTCGTGTCTGGTCAGGGGCGAATGGCCGCGTGCTTGAGGAGGTGGGTTTTTTCCCCGTGAGCGTGTCACAGCGGGCACTGGTCGTTCCAACTTGGCGCAGGATCTGAGTGCTGGTGCTGCCCCGAGCGGTGCAAGCGCCAGCGCCCCCCCGGGGGTGTCCGTGTCCGTGCCCGCCGCACGTGTCCTGGAGGCAACACCTGTGCAGCGCTTGAAGCGGAAAGGGACGGGTCTTTAGCCTCAGCAGGATCAAGTGATTCAGATCACTGACAATGTCGGCAAGGGCATGGCCCGGGACTCGCGGACTCGAAGGCGTTTCACTTCGGGACAGAGTGTGATGAGGTCAAGTCCATGCAAGCGTCCTTGGTTGTGCCCTACATGGCATTGGGGGAGGTGCCATCCAAAGCCCTTTGCCTTTGCCTTTGTGTGGTGGGGCTTTGGCGGCTTTGGCTCTAGCCTACGGGCCGACGAGCAGAGCTCAAGCGAAAGCGATGCGAAGATGGTTTGGGGTGTGTTGGCCTTTGTTTAAGCGCTTGGCCGTTGGTCGGAGGCCAACAGACGGAACAACTAGACAGTCCGAATGCTGTTGTTTACATGTCCTCAACTTGTCCTGCAAGTTTGCCACAAGATCTTTCACGACATGTCCTGTTTGCAACTGCGAAATGCTGACCGGGGGCAACGCAGGAGATTGACATGACCGACATGCTGGCCTTGCAAAAGCAATTGAAGGCGGGCTCAAGCCCAGAGACAGAGGGCCCTGCTGCCCTGCTTCTTCTGAGCCGGCCAGGACTATGCACTGAAGAAGTACGGGACCAAGGCGCGTCGAAGCCTCGCTATGTACTTGTGGGAGATGTGACGCGTGTGGGAGGTCACGGTGACCTCCTTCATGCTGAAGGCACGTGCAAGGTTATCATGCTTGCGGCTGTCTAAGACGAGATGCGCCTTGCTCCAGCTGCCCCGACTGTCGCTGCTAGTGCTGCTCCCAATTTCGGACCTATGCGTGAGCGCGCAGACCACAGACTTGTTAGTTGTTGCTCCACTTCTGGCATCTTCTTGTGCTTGCGCTAAGCCGGATGGCAGATCTATGAATTTCGTCGATCATACATATATATATATATATATGAGAGAGAGAGAGAACGAAAGAAAGATTCCTAGAAACGCCCTATTTGTTTCTTTGTAGCTAGATAGATTTGAAAAAACTGAAATATTTTAAAGCACGGGGGATTATTTCAAGTGTATCAATTATTTCGAGCCCCAACTAATCGAAATAATTGGAATAGTTGAAATCCTTATCTATTGGTGAGTAAGCAGAAATTCCCCACAATTTAAATAATTGAAATACTTGACATTGGGTTTATTGAATTAATTCAATTATTCGAGCCCCAAATAACCGAACAACTTGAAACAATTGAAATCGGGCTTATTTCAATGAAATCGATTATTTCAATCATGTCGATTATTCAAATCGTGATGTCCGGTGGCTGTGGCTCACCGAACCCCGGATTTCAATTATTTCGAGCCCCAAATAACCGAAATAGTTGAAATAATTGAAACCGGGGTGTCATTTAATTATTATTACAATATTTCGAGCCCCAAATACCCGAAATAATTGAAATCTGGCTTATTTGAATTGTTTCATTTAGTCAAATCGTGTGGGTTCGGTGGCTGTGGCTCACCGAACCCCGGGATTGCAATTACTTCGAGCACCTGGATAAGGAGAAATTTCAACAATTGAATTAATTGAAACCGGGTGTCATTTAATTATTTCAATTATTTCGAGCCCCAAATAAACGAAATAATTGAAATCTGGCTTATTTCAATGAAATCGATTATTTCAATTATTCAAATCGTGGGGTTCGGTGGCTGCGGCTCACCGAACCCCGGATTTCAATGATTTCAACTGTTTCAATTATTTCCGAGCGCCAAATAACCGAAATAATTGAAATCCTTATCTATTCGTGAATAAGGAGAAATCCCCCACCATTTAAATAATTGAGATAATTGACATTGGGGTTACAAAAATTAATTCAATTATTCGAGCCCCAAATAACCGAAAAAAATTGAATTAACTGAAATCTGGCTTATTTCAATGAAATCGATTGTTTCTATTATTTCAATCATTCAAATCGTGGAGTTCGGTGGCTGTGGCTCACCGAACCCCGGATTTCAATTATTTCGAGCCCCAAATAACCGAAATAATTGAAATAATTGAAATCCTTATCTATCGGCGGATAAGAAGAAATCCCACCTATTTATGTAAATAGTTGAAATAATTGTAATCGGGTGTCATTTATTTATTCTTATTATTTCGAGCCCCAAATAACCCAAATAATTGAAATCTGACTTATTTCGATTATCCCCTTCACCCCCCCCCCCCCCCCCCCCCCCCCCCCCCCCCCCCCCCCCCCCCCCCCCCCCCCCCCCCCCCCCCCCCCCCCCCCCCCCCCCCCCCCCCCCCCCCCC